ACAGTTAGCACGTACAAATATAAGTAGTAATAATAATATCGAGATAAATGTCATTATAAGTAAGCAAGAATTCGAAATGGATAGTTTCCTCAGGTTATTACTTATTCCTAACCAACGGGTAAGTCTTTTCCTTAACATATTTGTTTTCAATGAAGTTTAAATCAGCCAAAGGTGACCAATTCCGTAACCTTTTTAAATCAGCAAGAGATTTAATGTAATTTAGTAATTAATACAAAAATACTACTTGCAAACCTCTCGCAATTTAATTTTCCAGTCTACACTTTTCTTTTTGTAAAGATGCTGATGGGATGAGACACATTGTTGTTGTCGCGACATTTTTTCATAACCTAAATTTAAACTCGAATTTAAATCTAACATGAATTATTGCAGCACTGCGACAAACCCACCAAAGTATTTAAACAATTCTATTTAAGCACAAATTTAAGAATCCACTCAAAATAATCGAAAAATAGAAAGACATTACACCGAGAAACAGAAGAGACTAAAGGGTCATTTCTACATGACTGATAAGATTTAGCGGCGTATCTAGTTGCACTGATAATTGCTGACCGAAGATGAGTGCATTGGGGAACATTGGTTAGCCAACTGAAGTGGTAGAGGATGTTCTTCTAGATTGACTTCTATAAATTGAAACGCCGAATTTGAAACTGTTAATATGATCTTATCAACTGATAAAAGTAGACAGAAATCAGTTAAAACATTTAATCCGCGAATATTGATTGACAATAATCAGCCAGAGTTAACGAGAAAGGACGTGTCACTCATCATTTAAATCAAATCATTATTTTGTTAAATTTAATTTTCAAAATTTAGACAGTTCCTGTTAAAGAAGTAATCAGTCAAAAAAAAAAATTCGAAAAAAGGATTTTCTAGCAAAGTTCTGGCTTCCTTCTATAAATCATTTGGAAATGCAGAAATTCGGAAATTCACTTAGCAAAAATTTCATTTTTCATAATGTCTGATCTGCATGCAATAAACAAGCAATGAAAGCAGTGGTCAAGCACTGACCATTTCCTCAATGAATGCCTTGTAATAAATGGACAGTATCTATAAAAATGATGAAACTTTATGGAATATCTAATTAAGCCAATTTTAATTTCCTGTTCAATCTTTCTATTATTATAAGAAATTTGGAAATTCAATTAATTGAAATTAAACTGTAAATGCAATGACAAATAGAGTAAGCAAAACGAATATTTCAGTAATTGGTTAATATAATTCAGAATATTTAAATGTTCTTTGAATCGATTTTTAATTTTAATTGAATTACTATTCAAACAATTCAATTAAACATCCTCAAATACTAGAGAAATTGGTATTTGAAATACGATTTTACTGGATAGGATTGATTTGTCGGAAAATTTATTTAAATTTCAGATTAAACTTGCAAAATATTGCTAAAGAATGATGGATTTAACAATGAGATTTAATGTTTTTTCAAAAAAGCGAACATTCTAGTAAATGTAGATCGTCAAGAAAATATTGCAAATTGAACATTGTTGAACTTACTACGGATACTTCTCTGGTAAGTCCAATACTTTCCGGAAACTTTCCGGATTGTTTGGGAGATTCTAGTTACCCACCAGTAAAAGAATTATGTTTCAATAGCTGCAAAAAAAAAGACTGGATACTTTGTCACATGCTAATCGTTTACGCATGAAAATTCCTGTTTATCGTGAGAAGCGAATACGGTAGGCGATAATGATGATGAAAGAACAATTTCACTTCCTTCTTTGAAAGAGGGAGAGAGAGGGGAAAGGAGAGAGAAGGAGGTAAAAGAGAGAGATCTTTGGCTTGATAAAAAGTAGTGGGAAATCAGTTGTTCGGTTATTAACATTTTATCAAACAGTTCTGATGAATTACATTTTAATCAATCAAATATCAAAAATACAAATAAACTGTCCAATAAACAATATGAAAGGCAGCGAAAAATGTCGGAAATAAAATCCTTGAAGTAAGATCGACCTGAAATCGGAATTTTAATTATTTTCCGGAATGAGGTTATAAAAATGGTGACCTTTTGAATCATTTTTACAATACAACTGTTCGTTGTGATTGTGCCAAATATGCTTGTTAGTCATATTTGACCTATGAATTAACCTTTCTCATCATTTCTTGCATATTTCCCTATAACCAAATTTGTCCTCATTTTTCGTTGCTCAAATTATTTCATCAAATTATGAACCTGTGATGGTCGTATCCTCAAACAACTATGTAAATATTCATTAGCAGATGCTAGCCTTAGGCGGAAAGGATTCTCTGATCTTCGTGCCAAAAGTGGTATCTCGAAATCATTCTCCGACTACAAAGAAAAATGGCAATCGAAGAAATTACAACAATTTCTTTTGTATCATATAGTATTGAATTACTAATAAATTTGTAAAACAATTTTTAAAATACTCAAGAATTCACTTTTTTTCAAAAAAAAAAAAAATAAGCGCTCTTTTTCTTAGCTATAACATTTGCGCCCATAAAATTACTATTATCAACCTCATTATTAAAAGTGTAGTTTCTGCATCTCACTGTTCGAGTCCTTTGTATGATTGGTGAATTTTCAGCTAATTCATTGCAAGTTGTCGTGATTGTTGCATTGTTAACCTTTGAACTTCGATATCGTTCCATTAAGTAACCTACCGTTGCATATTCTAGCAGCGATGCAAAAACTACAAATATGTAAAAATAATAAATTATTATCTTCCAAGAGAATACAATGTAGAAGAATAGACTTATCGATTGCTTTCTGGATTTCTGGTAATTTGAGAATTTCCGTAATTGAAGGAAGTATAAAATAAATGCAAAAGTTATACAAGGATATAACTTACTGTCAAAAACTTTCGTAGAAATAATTACCGTACAAACTTACCGATGAAATAGCAAGTTCCAAGGAAGATATCAAGACTTTTGACGTACGATACCTGAAATGAAACGATTTTAATATACAAAATACCTGAAATTTGTTAGCATTGTCTATCACATAAATTCAATACATCTTTTAATCAAAGCTTATCTTCTCATTTCCAGTAAACCGGATGCATCATATGTATCAGGATCCGTAAATGTTCAATAACATCATGAAGAATGATCTAACAAGCTAACCATATCTTCCTAATATTTGGAAACAAATTTAGCTCCAAATATTCCCTTGAATAATTATATGATACCTTTGGTAATGAGGCATTTGTTAAAGTCATTAATGTTGTCATTGTCAATACTGTTGTGACACCTGTAAAAATATATTATGAGAAAGATTTTGTTTTCGAAACATCCTCAAAGTATGTTTTATTATATAAAATAAGATTTGATTAATTTTCAGTAATTAAATATAAATTGAAAAATTGAATTACTTATAATCTATTGAAGTTATAAAGAAAATCATTATGCTACTTTTAAACAAAATAAACTTTGTGTTAGATGTTAGAAAAAAAAAAAAAAAACTGAATTTCTTTCATTTCTCATATATTCATGAATTGTTCATAAATCATTTTCAAAAATATTAGCATTAAAATTTAAGCATATAAGAAAATGTATCATTACCAATAGCAACTCGAGCCTGAGTAGCATCACGATTAAGCCAAAATGATATCCAAGAAATGACGACAATTAAAGAAGAAGGAAAATATATCTGTATCAGATAGAAGCCAATATTCCGTTTAAATGTGAAATAAGTAGAAAGTCGTGAATAATTCCCTAAATGTAATAATATTTACCGGATAGAAATCCGGAAAATGCTCCGTTCTGTTTGTTCTCATTTAATAAATTCATCAAATAACATTATCAAACTAAATTTATTTACTGTCTTTAAAACTCGTTATTAATTGCATATAAGTTAAGATGGCTAATAAAGATAGTATTTTCGAATTTTCAATTTAAATATAATTTTTTAAGTTTATCAATTCAAATATAGATAATCGGTTAATTATGCAAAAACTATTAAAACTATCATTTGAAGAGAATTGTAGCAAACTGACCTGTACTAAGCGAAATGAACCGTTCAACATGTTTATGGTCACCAATTGTGAAATAAGCCAAATGAACATTTTCATCGATTGTCACCGAACTTTCACCCAAATGCCAGTGATATATGATATCTCGGGTACTGTATGCATAACTCTCCAAATGATAAACATATAAAAATAAATAGAAACCGGAAATGAATAAGCAAAGTTTGTTGGTTGGTATCAAGAAATCGTCATTTAACAGTAAGCAATTTAGAAAGCCAAAAAATTTTTAATTTTAAATTTAAGATTTCAATTTTTATAATCACTTGATGTTCTTGTAATTTTTGATCTATCAAAGGTACAGGTAAAATTACTGTGAAATTCAAGTCGTGAAACTTTACTATGATGTAACAGTGAAGGAGGCCATTATTAAGCATAGTAAAGTTTAAGCTAATTAAGCTAAGTATGACTGATTAGGAAGAAGAAAGTTCGAACTAAGTAAGCTAAGTATAAGTGTGAAATGGCTAAGAAAAAAAAAATGACAAACAGATGGCATTTAAGAAAAACAAAAAGATATTTGATTTTGTTTCATATGGACAAAAACTCTGAATGACAGAGAGTAATTAATTTTCAACTATGGTGACATGGGACAAACTTCTTAAAAAAAAGTTTAAGTGAAACTGGCCATTGTTTGTAAACTAAAGTATTCTAGTTTTCCATTTCTAGCTACAGTTCAAGTATTATCGGTTTGTTTTTATATTACTTAAAGGGATGATATCATATCTATCTCTAATTAATTATGCAAAGGCCTGTAAAAACAAAAGTAAAGTAACTTCATTGGATATTTGATTCATCAAGTTTTACTCATTTTGTCATAAAAATATTATTCTAGCAACTTTTTCTGTCAAAATTCTTCGTTAAATTTATTAAATTTTTGCCCAATTTATTATTTTTCATTTTCGAAATTGCACTGAAAATAAAAAAATCCAAAAGAAAAAATTTTAAAAATTTTTCAAGAAAGTTAAAATTTTGAAGAAATTGAAAAAATGGTAAAAAAAAAATTGTGAAGGTGTAAAAAAAAAGATTGATAAAACTATGACTAAAAGATACAAAGTCCAAAAGAAATTGGAAAAAATTTCTAAGAAAAAAGATAAATGTCATATAAATGTCATAAATGTCACTGGATAAATGTCATCCAATTTGTTATTTTTGACTTTTGAAATTGAAATGAAAACAAAGGAAATCAAAAAATTAAATTTAAAAATTGTATTTGAATTTTCAAAATCTAAAATTTCAATTTAAAATCATATTAGATTCCAATTCATTCTTGATTAGCCAAAAACGAGAAATGGATAGAATTTCATGATTCAATAAAATGTATAGCGTAGAAAAATATGAAATGAGCATTTGCATCGAATCATTTTTCGGTTGTCGAGAATCGAGAATATACCTCAAGTTCAAGAGCACAAATTTGGACATCCAATGGAAACTGAAATAAATTGTATTAAAAATATTAAAAGTATTAATTATATTAATTCTGTT